CTTCAGATCAGTGAGATCTTGGAGCACATACAGCGTATGTGTCACCATTTCCAGGGCAGCTTTCGCCCCTTTGAGCCAGCTGGTGCAACTCGAATCTCCTGACTCGGACGTCTGGTTCGGATTCCTATCGGGGAAGCGCTCAGAAGGATTTCGGAGATTTTTGTGTAACTCGGAATGTTACTAGAGTATTGTGAACATAAGATTCTACTGAAGAGGCTGAAAAAACTAGCACGAATTGAGGTCAAAGAGGGTGTGCGAGGATTTCTATGCATTCAGACTGGTCTTATTTAAGACAAACTGTACATTCACCTTCTTGGATCCTGGTCCTTGCCATGTGTGATGTGAATGGATCTTTCAGCTGCAGTAGCGTGCCATTTTCTCCGGTATCATTGCCCTCCAGCCCTGTTCCCGTGTTTTTTTTGTGCGGAGAAAGTCGCACCCTACTGCAGTTATGGACCTACTTACCTCGAACATGACAACTACCGATGGGTGTACAGTTCGTTAAGGCTATAGGTAGTTATTCAATAAGATGAAGAGATTGGAGACTTCACTCACTCTGAATTGCTAAGGTGGGTCGTTTGGGAGGAGACAGTCAAGATATTTCTGATTGGGCGCCTCTCCATAAGACAGTGAAGTTTAGGATGGCACCAGTGTGGAAGACAGAGTGACTGATTGCCTCCGCACATATCTCCGCCCACATGATTAACGTGGTTATGGCGTTAGGGAAGGCTGCTCGTGACGAATCTAGGATCTGATCGCTGAAAACGTTCAGTAAAGCAAAGATTCAATAGAAACCCTTGTCGGCATTTCCACAAGGCCAGCTGGTCGTTTCAGCGCTGCCGTTATCACAACGTAAGGAGTTTCACGGTATCTGTGTGAGGGTTTTAGACGTTGGCTAAGCATATTCCCATCTCATTCATGTCATCTTAACTCGTTTTGTTGTCATCAATGTCCAGTTTGAAGTGCTGATGAGTTGTAAACGCAAGCTTCCCTCACTTCTGACCGGTTCTATCCAGAGGCTGAAGAGTCATATAAAGCTTATGAGAACATGGTTTCGCTCGCCTGCTTGAATCCGCCATCTTTCACCATGGGTGAAGATGAAGCGCTCCTGGAGTTACTACGTCTGTATGGAAGCTTCTACGGTATTTATTGGTCCCTTATTCTCTTTCTTTTTCGCTGACCTCACTTGCCTTTGAACTTGGGATGTGCCACTCTTGGATGGTGTACGTACTCGAATTACTTCCGAAACAGATGAGATCGTCTCAGTAGCCAAGATAATTCGCAACAGTGGATATGTTTGCCCATCCCCGTTTAAGTCCTCCACAAATGCCTCTCGTGCGGTAACCCTCAAATTGTACTTCCATTTTAACTCCAACGGTTCCCTGAATTCCGGAATATCGCTGTCCCTATGGATGAAATGAGATCTTATACGGCTGTTGCACCAAACCAGCAATCATTACAGTTTCTTCTCGGAAATGGAAGCAACTAGCAAAACTTAGTAGGCTTAGCAGCCGCGTACGTGAACAGGTTCTTGAAACATGAGAGCAACATAAGTGCTGTCTGGGTTCCCATAGTTCGCTTTCCCGAGCTGCACCCACACAGGCTGTTGTTTATATCCTTTCAGTAGTTGGCTGCATAGGTCGTTTTCAGCCGGATAGTCCACT